AAAATACAAGGCACTAAGGCCCAAACCTATACTATCCCTAATCTAATGGGCTTGAGACAAAGCCCAACAAAATAAAGTGGTGGGCCTTCCTTGGGCTTGGGCCCACTCTTCATGCATCATCCTTGCCATAGCCCTAGTAGTTGGGCCCTTAGCCCATGGGCCTCCTCCATCAACTATCAGAAACGAAGATGCAGAACGGACGAAAACGAGAGAAGCGACGTACGCAAGAAGTTGAAGAAAGAGTAAAGTGAAGAAGACAAAGAGGCGCAAGTGAGCGAAAAGAAAAAACTCTCCCCGAGAATTTCAAAACGGTCACGACACGTGTCACCCAAAGGACACGCCTGACCACGCATTAAATGAGACCCATTATGACAGAGGAAACCATCATCGCATAACCATCATGACCACTAACGCGCCGACCTCGCGTTTCGAAATACGAAACGACTTTTGCACACGTGGCATCTTGACAGGTGGACAAACGCGAGGGGTCACTTCCCCCTGGCGAGCTCGGTCTTAACTCCTCGACCTACGGTCTTCGGAGCTTGGGGGACTAGTGTACTGACCGTACCGCGAAGCCGAGCTCCAAGCTCGGCATCACAGTGCCAGATGATCTCGGGCACGCGTCATACGACGTCAGCTCGGCATTCAGGTGGATCACAACTGATTCCCGAGAATCTCGCCCATATGAGACCCATTATCTGATCACTGATTACCGAAGATCTCGCCCCAGACGAGATCCGCTATCATATCTTATCTCAGGCCCAGAGCCCAAAGCAACCCTAATTCACTCTAAGGTATGTGCATTACTTATACGAGACTATCACTCATACAAACCCTAACTTTGACATCAGAGTCTCTTTTGCAGGTACCTCCCCCATCTTGGAGCACTAATACATCAAGCAAAGGAGGCTCACCGATCTTACTGGATGGATCACCCCTACGGTCAAATTCCGGTAAGAACAGGTAGATTAACTAATTTTTGTGATATTACAACAATTCATAAATATAAATATTATTTGTGTTTAATATGAAATTTTTGCATTGTATTTTTTTCCTTTTGCACACATTTTCATCTTATTCTTTTATTTTAAATTAATATAAAATTATTTAAACAATGCTTATTTCATAAATAATCATAAAAAGAAAATACGGGGCATATAACAAAATACTTATTACTTGATCTTAAAATTAAGAAATTGTGAAATAAGTTCCTAAAATATCAATTAAAGTTTTAAAGTTAATTATTTGTTATCATTTTATATATCAATATTATTTTTAGTTATTTATTTTTTGACTTTTCAAAAATATATTTTATAATTTTAGTTTTATAGATTGATATGAGAGTGACTTCCAAATTCACGAATGAATTTGAATGTTTATTTATTAAATAACAATCGCCTGAATTTGGATGTTTATTTATTTAATAATTTATTTTTTAAATAACTGCAAGATATAACGTGAAGAACTCCGGGGTACAGAAAGCAAAATTAACTTTTCTCCAAAACGATGGGCTATAAAAGTCCAAACAAAAAAAATCATAAGGCTAATGATATGTACACTTTTTTTTTTTTTTTTTTTTTTTTTTTTTTTTAAGTATATTTTCTTTACTTTTATTTAATTTTTTTTAAAATATTTATATATATATTTTTTAAAATTTTTAATTTTACATCTTTAACTTTAAATTTACTATTTTTTTCACACACCTGCTTCCTTCTCTTTTCTAATTTTCATATGTACCATCTTGTCTTCTTCTAATTCTTCATTTATTTTAATGGATAATTTTAGTTCTCTCGATTTTTATATTACTATTTTTTTCTCATCTCTTTCACTTTTTCACATGCACCCAAATCATAGAACTGGTAGATGATAATATTGTAGATACGTGTAGCTTCCTCGACAGCTTCTATCAAACTAGACACATATTTTTTCTTCCAACACTTTCTTTTCTTTCACCCGTCAAAAAACCTTAATATTAAGTTTAGTGTTATAAAAAAAAATAATGTAAAACTGAAAGAATTAAAATAGGTGGGGTGAAATTAGCCAGAAAGTTGAAAGATGAAGAGAAAAAGAATAATGTAAAATTAAAAGAATTAAAATTACCTACTAAAATAAATGGGAAGAAAAAAAATTAAAGGAGTACATGTGAAAATAAGGAAAAAAGATATATAAAAAAATATTAAATTAAATATTAAGAATGTAAAATTAAAAACATTTTAAGAATTTAATTGTTTTTTTTTATAAAAAGGAGTGTACTTATTAAAAAAAAAAAAACAAAAGGAAGTATATCATGATCCAAAGTATATCATGATCCAAATCATAAATGGCCTTTAAGATCCAAACTCAATTATTTGGGCCTTCAAACTGGGAGCGGTTCTCTCCCTCTCACTCTCTTTAAAAGAACGAAACTCGATAAAGAAAAAAAAGTCAATCTTAATTCCCATGTCCTCTCTGCAACGTTAGCCATTGAATTGAAATTTGATGGCTGAAAATTCGTCGGCTCCGCGGCGGCAAACTCCTTCTCCTCCATCGCCTGTACTCTCTTTCTCTCTCTCTCTCTCTCGATCTCATTCTGTTGACGTCGTTAGTGATTCAATTTGATTCTGATTTTTGTGGAAACGAACAGCAGTACGTGGAGGTGAATTGCAGAAGCTCCGGCAAGACCCGGCGGTTCGCGGCAGGCACCGAGGCGGGGTTCGCGGTGGCACTGATGAATCGGAAGCTGAAGGGAGCGGTGGTGGCTGCGTCGCACATAGAAGCAGTGAAGGATGGGGAAGAACCAATTGCTTTTGGCCCCACTTCGTTTCTTTCCAACTTCGGTGACGGTTGGAAACTCCAAACTGTTACCCTACCTGACCTTTTCTCAGGCAAGTTAAATAAACAAACACCTCTCGTCTTTCATCATACATGTAACTGTACTTCATCGTACGTATAAATTTGCTGATATTTGTACGGGATAAATATTGTTTTTATGTAATTAAAAATTATGATAAATAAATATTTTTAAAACATATAATTAGGGGAGAGAGTGGTTCGTGTCTCTTAAGTTTTTAAAAATTAAAAATACAATAAAAAAGAGGTAATTGAGTGAGTGATTATGAGTAGTTTTTGATAAGTTGTTTCGTTTCTGATTTTCTATTTGTTTTTCTTTTTTTCTGTCGTAGCAATTGAGGATCTAATGGTCCAACAATTTGTGAAAAATAAATGGTTGCTTAGAGAAATATCCCTTTATACAATGGGATATATTATATTAAAATTTGTAATAAATTAATATTTTTAGATATCTAAATTATATTTAGATTTACCATAGATAACTTACATTGTTATTCAAAATTATTTTTGACATAGTTTTTTAAGAAAATATTGAAATTCAATTTAAAAATATAGATGAAAAAAATGGATTGAAAGATTTTTTATATTTTTTTTTTAGACTCAAGAAATCGAAAAAGGTAAGTGTGATTGTTTCTTTCATATTAGTTAACTTGTTATTACGGGGTTTTTTTGGTTGAAAGAAGGGGAAGATTTTAATGGAGAGGAGAGTGGAAGGAAGGAGAGGGACATTCTGTTTGGTTAAGAGGAGGGATGGGAATGGATTTTAATGGAGGGGAGAGGAGAGATTTTAATGAAAGTATGATTGCTTTCTTTATGTTGGTTATAACATGTTATTAAGGGATTGTTTGGTTCATAGCAGGGTAAACGTGGGATTTTAATGGAGGAGTGAGGAAGGAAGGTGTGGGACATTCTCTTTGATTAAGAGGAGGGGTCGAGAGGGATTTTAATAATGAAGGGGAAGAAAGGTAACTTTTTATCTTGTTTGGTTTATAATGGAAGGAGACATTTTTCTTATTTGATCCATGAAGGGTAGAAATTTTAAGAAGTATTTTATTTTTGTAATCTTTTAATTTTGAATTTCAAAATATAAGTAAGATATTTTAGATGTAATACTCTAAATGTTTTAAATCCCCTCTTATCCATGCGGATTTGCGCTAGGGATGAGATAAGCAATTTATAATCTTGCCAAAAATCCTCAGAGGTTGGTGTTTGGCTTTGGTCTTTCATAGGATCATGCCTTGCCATAATCTAAACTTTTTGTGGCAAAAAAAATCCTGCTCTATCCAAATCTCCCAATATTGGAGGGAGTAAAAAATTGAATGAGGAGTTTTGCTTCCCTCTATTTCTCCAATCAAATACCATGTAAATGTGTATTTCGGTGATTGTTTGCAAAATTTATTTTTTATAAAGTTGGTTTTTGGTTAAAATTGATTTTATAATGAAGTAATTCATGTTTGGGTTGCTTTTATTCTAAAGGAGTGGAACTCAGTATAAAATTTTTGATCTAGCAAAAGCTACCTAAACTAACTGTGTTAACTCAATCAATTTTAGACTTAATCAATTCTTCAACATGAGACTAAACATTTAAACATTTACGCGTATGTTTCGTTGTGTTGAAACCTCCTAACCTGCGTAAAAAAATGTTAGAAAATTAAAAGTTATACAGAGTTTCTTTTTGTTAGTTACGTGAAAAAGTGAATCAATTTTCCTTAAAGCTCTACAAAACCAAACACACAGTACCTAAAATAACGTCAGCAGATATTTTCAACATGATTTTGTATAATTTGTTGTGAAGCATATCACGTACTAAGATAGTACTTTCATCACCAATTCATGTATCAGAATCATGATGGAATTGTGTATTTCATTTTTATCTTTTAATGTAAATGCTGTAGAGTAATTTTAAGTAAAGAGACACGATAATGTAATTTTCACTAGAACGAGTTCAAAGATTTTGCATATAAAACCAAATTTTAACATGTTTGAGGAATGTTGAAAGCGATTCATGATGTCAATATATATAACATTTTTGAATGGGTATGATATTAAAATGATTTTTCTATTATTTCTTTTTTATTGTTTGCAGAAGTGGGGAATGTACAATTTCAACGGATGGCAATGCAGACACCTCCAGGACCAGTAAGTTTATTTCCATTTTTCAAGCAAAAGGAAAAATTACTTTTGTAATAATTGCCCACTTTTTTTTGCAATCATGTCATTTTCTCAAGCTAACTTTTAAATTTACAATTCACTTTTTATATTATTTGATTTATTTCACTTATAACAGGAAGTATTAGAAAATTTCAGCTGAGAGAATTTTGAGAAACTGAAAGTAAGTGTTTAAGAGACTGAATGTGTATTTTCATTAGTGATTAGCCAGTACATGGAGGTTTATATAGGAAGTGATTATGAGTGGGTCATCACCACACTTTGCAATAGCAAAGCCTACTACAGATGCAACTGTTCTAACTATACTAATACTAATAGCAACGGACAATCAGTTGCCAGCTGTACCAACAGCTGGGGCTGCCTAATTGAAACCAGTATACACTAATAATCATCCCTCAAGCTCAGGGAGGTTGAGATAATTTTGCTTTTTAATTCCAGAAAGTGGATAGGAGATTGTGTGGTAGAAACTTGAAACTTGGGAAATACTGTTTGAATTTTGAGGTAGCTGAAGTAGGGCTGCAATATTCAACTGCAGTAGAGGTGGCCACAACCATTTGCTTTTTGGGACCCTAGGAGACTATATTAAGCCCAAGAAAATGCACACAATAGAGGTTGACCTGTGATCATCAAGATTAGAAGCTCAGTTAGTGCATAGAATCATCATCAGCAACTACAGCTTCGCCTAGCCTCCTCCTTAACCAGCAGCTTGCTGGTCCTGAAAGCCAGCTGGCCATGCAACTTAAGCTGCATACTCTTCAGTAAAGATGCAATGATAAGTTCTTGGTACCCTAGTGGTCATGTGAAGGGAGAAACCTCGCACATCCTCCATGACTAATCCAATAGCAAGGTGGTTGGCTGCAATGATTGTGCTCATCTTATCATCTCCTCCATGTGTTCTCTAGGTGCTCTTGGCTCCCAGGGAGGTGGAGGTACTCCAAGTGGGCTTTGTATCGAGCATCAATATCTAGTAAAGGTATGATGTACTCCATGTGGCTCATCCACACCAAGATTCCTTGCGACATGCATTAACCATAAATTAAAGCAGGAAAACCAAGTCTAGCTTCCTTCAGCAAACTCGTAGATGCATTGTGAGATGAAGTCTCATATGTCAATGTTCTTCTGTGTCATGATGGCATAGACAAAGTATGCCATATTAGTAGTGAGGTCTGACATGCATGTTTGGGGCCACATTTGCCAGGATAAAGGTCATCCTAATTTGAGGTAGGTGGAGGTATGCTTTGAATATCTGTAGTGGGATGTTCATCTGTTCTCCAATTATCTTGTACTCCCAACCCGGTGCACAAAGAAGATTCTCTATAACAGTGTAAGCACTGGGTTGCTGCCTCCAAATATCATATTTAGAGGTTTGCGCTTGGCGGTAGACATTGGTCTTGATATATTGGTTGATGGTTGTGCCATCATTGTCAATAGGCACCCCCCTCCCAAACCAAGCTTTATTGTGGTGATTGACACCCTCAGGGATGTAAGCATTTGCAAAGAATTGTCGCACCACATGTATATTGAACTCAATGTCAGGTTCAATGGCCTTTTTCCAGTCCTACCTAGTGATTTCGTTCATGAAGGTGTGGTGCTCATTTGGAGCTAGGTTCACCCTACTTGATAAAATGCTTATTTTCAACAATTAGGAACCTTAGTTGGGTTTTAAGGGAGGTGAACCTAGATCCATCATAAGGTTGATTTTCATCTCGACATCTGTTGCTTCTAGAGGAACCTCCTCTAGTTGGGGCCCTCTTGTCAGATGGGGAGTAGGAAGGAAGGGAAGGCACCATAAACAAGATCATTTGATAAGCATAAGGATCGCCACAAGAATTGGAGAATTCTTGATAAGATCAAAAGATGCAAGAAGAATCCTAGCAGAGCTAAAACTCAATTTAGAAAATGATCCAATCCCTTCCATTCTGGAATCCAAAAGGATTAATACAAATTTAGTTTATGGATTTGCCTCATTTGAGTAAATAAAAGAAAAGTAAAATCTCTAAATGACATGCAAAACTAGTAAGCCTAGTGGTTACAAGACGACATTCTATGCTTGTAGCCCAAGGTTCAACTCCTAACTCCAACATATTGTTTATATATATATATACACACACACATATATAGTTTTATTACAACGCCTTTTACAAGACAAAACCAAAATAAACTTTAGAACTTAAAATAGAAACAACATTAAAAGCTCCCAATTGGGCCTCCCAGCTCTCCATGCAAGCTATACATATAATCGGCCTTGTCTCCTCCATGTGTTGAGCCTTCAACAATTGGTCCTCCAATAGATTGACCACCTTGTGCAGCAATGCCTCTTGGACCTTTCTAAGTCTGCCTCTGGTCATAGGTCCAACTAAGTTTTGAAATGGGTTCTGATCTTGATGCTCCTCATCATAGGCTTGGGCTTGTTGATCATTCTTTTCATGGGCTTGAGTTTTGATGTCCATATCAATGTTGGTTGTTTCCCTTGAATATCAGAGCAAACATGCACTTTAGTTGTGGGAAGATTTCCATATTGAAATGCTTCCTAGTTTTAAGGGAAGTTTGGTTCTAATGTGGTCCATTTTTTTTAGGTTAGATTCATTCCATTATATGAACAATGGTCATATGTGAATATTTGATATTCCATGCATGTTGCACATTTGTTGAAAGCCTGTGATGGCCAAAATTCTATAATAAGGATGTGTTGCTCTTGGGTTAACTAAAAATGCTCTTTCTTTGATATACGACACCACTTGGTATTAAGAGTGAGAATTTGAAAAACTAAGTTAGAATAAGGTTATGACACAACAACTACGACCGGGAAGGGACCAAATGGCAATGGAGGGAAGTTGGTTTCTTGATTCATTTTTAGTTGTTTACATTGTTTACCATGTTTAGATCTCTTCATACATCTAACACTTGCTACTGATAAAGATGACTATGACATTACATTCATACGGTAGGCCCTCAAGAATGACATCTAATTGCTCAAGTTGAGTTAGGATCACCAACAACAAACAGGAAATCAACAAAGGCTTTGATGTGAAGGAGAAATTTTGAGTGATTTCCAAGTTTAGGTCTTTGTAGCTTAGAGCGAAGTTGTCCAATTGTGAAAATCATTGTGGATTCTCTCAACGTTCCCATGGGTGGATCTTGAAAGATATGCAAGCCATATGGCATAGGTTTCTTTGATCTTGCCATTTTTCTGATCCTCTTCATTCAAGAATTTGGGAAAAATGATTGGAGTAACAACCAAGTTGTGTAATTTATGACCTTTTGATTACTGGTTGGATTTGTTGTTTGCAGAAAGGGAAGATGTGACCATTCAGTGTTTGGGGAGATGACACAAGAGGTGATCAGAGTTGAGCTAGATGAATTCAGTGGTGGTGGGGGACATGGTGGGAAATTATCCAAGGTATCAAGAACCATCACTAGATACCATATTAGAAAACTATAGTTGAGAGTTTTGAGAAAATGAAACTTGGATATAAGAGATTGAATGTGTATTTCCATTAATGACAAGCATGTACAATGAGGTTATATAGGAAGAGAAAATGAGTGGGTCACAACCATTGTTACGAAACCTAAGCTAAAAAGCAGATGCAACTGTTCTAACTAATGCTAACCATGCAGTCGAGGATGTACTAATAAGAAGAAACAAAATGCTAAACATTTATTTAATTAAAAGTAGTAAAAAAATTTCTATAACCACATTATTTTGACACCTTTAATCTATCATCTAATTGTTTATATATATATATATATATATTATAAATCAAATCATTAAAATAGATAATTTGAATGGTGAAATTCTCATTCTTCTTAGTTTCTCAACTTGATATTATTGTTACTATTTTTCTTCTATTTGAGCATTTCATTCAATAACACTATCTCACAACGAGTAAAAAAAAAATATCCTTCCAACCATACTCTTTTTTATTTTTTTTTATCTATGTAATTCATCTTCATATATTGTTTCTCTAACCTACTCTATATATATATATATATATATATATATATATATATATTCATTTCAAGTGCTGAGCTTGTTTTCCATTTATTGCCTTTCTTTCTCCAGGTTTCAGGTGTTCCAGGTCCTGCAAAAAGTGTATCCAATCCTATCAGCTTTGTATATCTTGTTAAAATAATATTTGCTTTTATTTTGATTTTCTTACTCGGTACAATTTTCACTTTGTTTCTCGATAACCTTCCTGCATTCATATTGTTTCTTAAGTCAATAATCTAGTGCCTTTTTATTTTTATTGCTTGAAATGTATATATGCATCAAGCAAGTGGTTCAATCTATGTAACCTTTTTGTCTAGGACTAGAATTCAAACTATGGAAGTAGACGATGGCAGAAACTGAACTATGGGATCATCTTATCTCCAACATTTCATATTTAAGTTGCCACAAAATCTATGTTGTTAGAAAACAATCCTCCAAATTTACTTGTCTCGCAATTTCGTCCTATCTTTGTAACAATCGTTAAATAAGCAGATTTGTGTGATTATACTCCATCTCACTTTGTTAAAGGTGGTGGAGAAAGCATTGGATGTTCAATGTGTTTAGGAAAGTCACAATTTTCATTACCTTCTGAGATTGGAATGGCTTCCTAATTTGGTGTTCTGCATTCAAGGTGGTTGAGTACAGACAACCCTGTCTCGTTTCATAGTTTTGAAAAAATGGAATATCCTGAGCTGTTGGCTCGGCAGATGTTATTCTTAACAGAAATTTATACCAAATTACGAGCTTGATTCTTTGATCAGCTTATATCAGCTAGCCTGTGGGGAGTTTTTATTTTATTAATTTATTTTTTCGCCGATTCAGCTTTAGATTTGATATGGTGATATTCATTACGAATTAGCAACTGTTACTATTCCTATCTCAAGGTGCATCTGTCATCTCATTAAGTCGATACTCTTTTGTTCAAAGGAGGTGAAACAGAACTAAACGGTTACATCACGGGAATAACAATTCCCTTTAAAATCAAGCCATAACAACCTCCTTGCACTCATCCGGGGTGTCATAAACCCAAAAAGGTTGCCGAATAAAATGCACCTTATCTGTTAGCATATCAGCAACATTGTTTCCCTCCCGGACAGTTTTAAGTAGATACTCTAGTTTAAAAGGCAGGAAAAAACCATGATATAAATCAAGATTGTTGGAGCATAAGTTGCTACTAGTACGACTTATATACCCAAATTTGAAGTTGTTCCAGTAAAGGGATAGCAGCCGGAGAACCCTTAGTGATGTAAACCCTAAGAGAGCTTAGCTGTCGTTCTGACTTAGAATATTCAAGACTGATAATAACCTACTTTTCACCAGTTCCCTTTCTCTTTATTTATATGGGTCCTATACACGTGATCCGGATCTTCGATCCTCATTCCCTTAAATGCGTGCAGATCCTCCTCTATAATGAGCCTATGAACCGCATTTATGATCGTAATCGAATCTACGCAAGAATCACATAAATCACAACCTTGATTAGTTTTACTGGAACTCACTCATCAATACACCCATGACTAGCCTAAAGTTCGGGTTGTTCGGTCGGATGGGGATCAAGAAGGTATATTCTGTTCGGACTGCTCGAAAAATTGGAGACCAGGAGGGTACACAAACCCTCCTGGCTTACGCGTTATCAAGGCGGAGATATTGATCGGTCACGTCAGCAAATTGGAGATCTGGAGGGTACACAACCCTTTTGGCTCGAGCGTTGGTAATGTGTAGAGACATTGATCGGTCAGGTTGGCAAATTGGAGATCCGGAGGGTATACAGCCCTCTTGGCTCGAGCGTTGGTGACGCGGAGACATGGATCGATCAAGTTGGCGAATTGGAGATCCAGAGAGTACACAACCCTCTTGGCTCGAGTGTTGGTGACGCGTAGAGACCTTGATCGGTCAAGTCGGCAAATTGGAGATCCGGAGGGTACACATCCCTCTTGGCTTGAGCGTTGGTGACGCGTAGAGACATTGATCGGTCAGGTCGGAGAATTGGAGACCTGGAGGTTACACAACCCTCTTGGCTCTAGCGTTAGCAACGTGAAGAGCCTATGCTTGGCCAGCTCAGCCTAATGGAGACATGAAGGCATTATGACAGTAGTTTTATGCCTAGCTTGCCTCCATACATCATGTCTCTTGGGAATACAAAAACTCTGTAACCTACATTAAATGCTTTGACGACTCATTAAAGCGACGCTACTTTTCATGCATAAGTCACCATTATGACTTATTTATATAATTTATTTATTTATATATTTTATTTAATTTAATTTTTTCAAACCCCTTTAACAAAGGGTTACACTCATTTATTTTGTGACTGTTGGTTTTTGCGGGGTTTTCCATACAACCTTTATGTTCCTATTTAGGAGTTTCAACTATAGGAGTTTTACTCTCCCTCTCTTCCACCCTTGCACCCTAGGTTATCATTTGGAGTGGGATCTCTGTCGTGTCGTCCGACCATCCTGTCTGATAACGATTCTGCCGTCCCCCGCCTAGGTACGACTTCCTTTCTCGCCCCATTCCTTCTATATATTTGTTGGTAGTGCTAGGTATTGGTGAAAAACTTGAAGCTTTATTTATTTTAATGATGGAGGAAACTACGGATTATGCCCAACTGTATCCTTGGGCGAGCCAGATGTATTGAAAATCCATTCTGTTTGCTGCACTTGGGACTATATGAATGACTTGAGGAGGGAGCATGTGTTTACGCGAGAGGGTAGGGAAGAAGATATCATGTGAACCCTTTGTAGATAAGGAACTTGTGTGTATTGGCCCTCAATCAAATAATGAAGTATTTACATTTTGTTATGAAACATTGATCACTAAGTTAAAGGTTAGGTGGCTGTTGACGGGAACAAACTTCAAGAAGTTGAGAAGTGGTTATTGACTGAGGTAGATGCATCGAAGATGGCTAGGGGAAAAGCCTTTGAATCAGCCTAAATATTTGAGGCCGAGACTGAGTCATTGAAGGGAGAGCTAGCACAGTCTGAAGGCTGCGTGCATGTTGCGAAGGTTGATGCTGCCAACAAATTTGTTGAAGGGTTTGAAGCAGCTTTCTCTCAAGTGAGAATATTGCATGGTGGAATAGATTTGAGTGGTGTGGTGTATTTCAAGGAAGTTGTTGATGGAAAGCTAGTTGATCCCCCCGAGGATGATTAAGGACGTCCTTACTGTTATGAAATAATTGAATAAGATGTTAACAGCTGTAGTTATCTTAAACTCTGGAATGAGAAAAGCTTGATCAAGGTCTTCTACATATGCTTTCGATCGAAAAGATTCGAGCAAAGGTTGATAAGATGGTGTCTCAGAAACTTGCTCGACAACTTTTTCTTTTTCCTTCTCCGACCCAGATGGACCACTCGTCCAGTTGTTTAGAACCTCGAAGATACTTTCGATATCTTCATCCTCTTCATTGAAGAAACTCATCAAATCCAAGTCTGTGGAAGGAATGGAGGACAGGGCTTGGACAGAAGAAGTGGCACCTCCTTGGGTCGAGGGTAAAGCGGTAAAAGGTTTAGGAGACTCAGTCGAACCTATTATAGATCAACACAATGTGTAAGACATATGTTCGTTAAGACTCATGAAATAAAAGTTCGAAAGATAAACAAAATATACCCTTATTTGGACTCAAATGGGGTTGAAGCTCGAAAGAAGCTTCACCTTGAGTAGATTGTTCGAGGATCTCCATATTTGCCAAAGGTTCAGATTTGAGAACCTTGCCCTCTTCGACCTGAAGAGGGATCTCTATTGAGGCCACGACTGAAGCAATCTCAATAAAATTTAATTGAGGCGTGGCCAGCTATAAACAAGTGATGAGATTAGAAAGATATTCCAAAGAAAGATCAAAAGGAAGGTGTGGAAAAGAACAGACCTGTTGAGATACTTTGTTAGTGAAAGGAATATCTTTCGACATTTCCCGAGAAGAGTCAATCTGGATGACTTCGACGTCCTAATATGAACAAATATCTTAGAAATGTCGAAGAAAAAAGGAAATGTAATCGAAATCAAAATGAAGATACCTTGGGAATTGATTTCATCGCATCTTTAAGAAGTTTCTCACCAGAAGGCTTCAGGGTTTTCTTCTGAAGAGGTATCACCAACTTCCCCTTTCATTTGTCAAGCTTCTTTGTGGTCGAGACCTACAAGAAACTCGAGATGATTAAAGCTCGAAATAGAGAGTAGCAAAGTATATTAAGGCGAAATAGTGTACTTACAGTTTTGGTGCTGCCCGAGTCCAGTTTTTGTTTTCTAGAGGTTTCAATACTCTGAAGAAATATCAGAAACAGAATAGGTAAAGGGGAACAAACAAATCAAGAAATATGTTTAACAAGTTTGCTTGAAAAGAAGTATACCTTGGTGCGTAAAGAAACCTTGTCGAAATCGGTCTTTCATTTGCGACCTTTAAGTGATGACCCTTTCGCATCATCATCATCGTCACTTTCCTAATCGGGAGTTTGTTCGACGTGTTGGGGAACACGTTGAGAAACAGCAGTTGTATAACAGCATAAAAGATGAGATAAATACAATAAAAAATTCGAGAAAGTTTCTTGGTCATAGTCATTTACCAGGGGGAAGATTAGTGTTATCGACCCAACATAGTGGCCACCATCTTCTTCGAGGAAAATCATACAGGGAACATCTCGCGTAAGTAACTCGGTTCTTTACAAGGATCGCTTTATTCTCAAAGTAAAGTGGGTCGAGTGTTTTTACCCAAGGAGGGTAAGACAAATATTTAGCTAAACCAAAAAGAGCATTTGGATGAGGGGGTATGTTTTTAGGACAAAATTTTTCAAAATCAGTTTTTCCTCGAGGATTAATTACCTTTTTCGAGCGAATGTTCCTTTGTACCATTTTCGATAGAGAAACGGATGCGTCGAAATGGTTCGACCAATGTTGTCTGTAACGACCCACCCTAGACCGTCACATCAATAACCAACCAAAATAAAATAATATAAAATAAAGAAAATAGAGCAAAAGCCAGCTACGCTAGAGTGTAAATATACAATAACATATAAATTGTTTCCAAAATATATAATATAATCTTTTATAACAGAGTCATCATCCTCAGTAAAGTTATACAGTAATCCAAAAAGATAATATAATTACAACGTCATGAAAACATCAAAATAAGACACCCTAGGTGCTGGTCAAGCTCTAAACCTAGCCACTTCTCAAAGCAGCTATCCAAAAGACTCCTTGCTATCCCAAAGCCTCATACCTGATCTGCTCCCCCACATAGTGAGATCATCATAAATAGGAAGTTGTTGTTAGAATTCTCGACAGAAAAAAGAAAACTTGTTAACATCTTATTCAATTATTTCATAACACTTACTCGTTTGTTTTACTACCAGTAATTTGACTTTGGGCTTTTCTTTTGTGCATTCAGTGTTTTTGTTTTTGTATTCGGATTCATGTTGCGTTGGCTGTTAGTTTGGCTTGTGCGTTGGTTATGTATGCATTTAGCCGCTT